ATTTATCCTATTTTATCTCGCTTCGAGCCGTTACAACTCGCTTCCGCCGTACGTGTCTATCGCGTAACAGGAGTGGGGAGAGAAGAGAAGATAACGCGTCAGACACGACCTACTTCACGCAATGCCTTCATCCTTGCGGAGTTTCCGTTTGGTCAAGGATCCATGTGTCCGTCTTCGTTGCGGGATATTCGAGTGCAATCGAGATTGTACTTTCCTCTGTTGTTTCTGGATCGTGAGGTGAAGTTGAAAAGGGTCGAGAATTATATAGGAATATATTATTATATATATTGGAAATTTATTTTACACTTTTTTTTTTTTTACTTATTTCTTGGAAGAAACACCATGTAACGGCGTCGTTCACGCGATACGAAATTTTATTTTCTATATTGAAAAATATTTTCTAGATTGAATTTGTTAAAAGAATAGATAGCTTCGTGTATTTTTTGTATATTATACGTTGCAATTTGTACTGCTTAATTTTAATCCACCAGGAAATCATAATATTCAAATACATAAATGTTAATCAAATTAAATCTTAACTATCTTGTAACTAAAATTAATTCAAAATTATTTATTTAAATTACTTGTTAAGTATTTATAATAGCATTATTATTATTATTATTATTATTACTAGTTTACCTCATATATCTCTTGTTATAAATTTATTTTTACGTTTCTTTATATCAAATATTTCCATTTCAAATATAAAAACATTTTAATGTATATAAATAATCAAATTCATCAATATATATAAAATAATCAAGCTCGTATACAAATAATCAGGTCATCGAGTATCTTCTTTACGAAATTATTACGAAGAAAATTCAAATTATATTTTCACGGATCGTAAATCTTTATCAATGGATCGTCGACTAGTCGAAGAACGTTATTATTAATCTAGGAAGCCGGCCTTGTGTATCGAAAGTTAATGGAGTTTCCTCTGGCCCTCTTCCTGCTCTTTTAACCACCGTTGAATCATATTCGAAAATCGCATTTATCAAATGTGCCACTCGGTATATGGGGTGCGGTGTGGTCGATGCCATCTGGCACTGGTTACACGCCCGACAAACCGACCACCACGGGCTATTCTTCTTCGTTAATAATTTTTCATATCGCATCGAGAAAAAGTTCGTTATTAAGTAAGTCACGTTCTCGTATTATTTTCAGTTTATTTTTCTCTATATTTATATCTACCTTTGTTGTTGTTGTTGTTGTTATTGTTGTTGTTATTGTGAACAATGACGGTGAGTTGGCTGTGGGATCGTACAGAAGGATGCATACATATATGAAATTACATTATAAAATGTCAACATCATGTCTTGCTTTGTATTATTACAACTAGAGAGAGAGATGGAGAGATATATTATATATTAAACTCGCATTGTGAATGGTGTGTAATGTACTTTCTCTGAAAAATTGTGGTATCGTAAAAATTGAATTTTATTCTTCGATTTGTGACAACTTAATTTTTTTTTGTTGCATGCAAAATAAAAAAGATTAAAATTGTTCAAATAAAAAAAGAAAAAGGAATAAAAAAAAATTGTAATTTTTCTTCTTCTTTCTTTTCTTCACTTTTTAATAAATTAATCAATCTAGAATCCTTCGAATTTTTATTATTTTTATCGCGACATTTATCGATAAAAAAAAAGTCGCGATCGAACATCATTTTCTGACGTCATTTTATCAATCAGTGAACTTCCGTTATGCATTAGGAAACAGTTTCTTGAACTTCGTCCCGCGACGTAATTTCTCACGGCGTGTCGACAAGACGCAAGGAAACAATCGACGAGCCGGCAGTTCGCGCTATTTGTCACGATCACGGAAACCTCTCTGTTTTCGGATGGATGGTACGATTTAATTGGGACACGATACGTATTGGTCGTCCAACAAGACCAAATTTGTGTAACTTTTAATGAATCATATGTGGAGAAATTATTTTTTTCTTTTTGTACCCATTTTATATCGTTAAAAATTTACTGGAATGAAAAATATATCGTTAGTAAGATCGTTGTACGTAACTATATTTACCTTAAAACTCGATTAAACCATATTAAAATTATACGAAAATAAACCGAATATAATTTCGAAGATAGTGATTCTTGGTTGACGAACCAAGAATTATTAGAATTATGGAATCTTTCTCTTTAAAACGCTTTCTCGTTTATTTCGATGCGACTTTCGGTTCTCGAGATATCGTCGTGTAAAGAAAAAGATAATTTTTTTGATCGTTTAGTACCTCCTTGTCGCTCGCTTGGATCTCTCGCTCGTACTCGCATTATTGACTCCAGACAAGTGAGAGACGTAGTATACATTTTTAGGGAAAAATATAAGTCACTAACTGATTCGTAATTCCCTATGTTAAACGCTATGGAAACTTTGAGTCGTTATATCTCGGTAACCGATTGAGATATCGGAATGAATCAAAAAGTGATTTTAATGACATTGTTGTGATTTTGAGTAACGGTAACAGTATAAAAATAAAATTATTATGTGTTTTCTGTATATCGGTTGAATATTTTAACACGTTTTGGTTGTATAAAAATTTACAGTTTAATAATAGTAAAGTATTCTCGGCACAAACCCGACCCAAATTCCAAACCATTTGAGTATAACTCGTCGTTTAATCGGACCTAACCAACAATCAGGGGTTGGAAATAGTTACGATATCGGTTTCAGCCCTTGATAACAGTTATGAGAACCGAAGTAATGTCGTAACGATTATAGATGTAACGATCCTGGTTTATATCGGTTTCGGTTTTGGTTTTTCGGAACCGATATTATATCGGTGTTCTTGCACTGTTACTTTTTATATTGGCTCTCATTGAATATACGTGCATATATATTCTTCTATTTCATTATTTTTTATCGAATCTTTCATTGATTTTGTGGAAACTGTTACTACATTAACGACTTAATTTAACAATTCTTTTCTCGGATTCAAAGACATAAATAATTGGAAAATAATAATTTAAAGAGTAAAAAGATAGAAATAATAATAAAATTAAGAATAAAAATTCAAATATTTATACGATTTCAACAACTTCATTAAAAATTCTTCCCCTAAAAATAAATTCATCCAATTACTTTAATAAACGCTTTAATTACAATTTGACGATGCTTGACGATTCAAATTAACAATCGACGCACGTATAGACGAGTTTCCTTCCAAGTCCTTTCCTTCTCGTTTTTACGCAATTTACTGTCGAGGATTCTTTTGGGTGCAAGATCAAAAACGTCGCGAGAAGGTCGGCCAAGACCCCGAATAAGTACTTTTCCACTTGGCAATTATCTGGAAAACGTGTTAACGGTTTAAATAGATCGTGCAAGGTTCGAGAAGTAATCTGGGTCAAGAAAAACAAGCAACGTATATCATTTACAGATCAACGCTAATTAGATAGCGCAATGTGACGCGAATGAGTTAATATTCATAGTTGAAACGATCAACATCAACACCGTTTAACCGAGATTTAAATAATTGTCATCGTCATAATTCAGTTCAGGTATCAGATCTTATAGAAAGTAGATTATCATTGCTACATGGTCCAAGGACTTTTTTTTATCATACACATTAAATTAGAACGTATATTGATCATCAAGATACACGATAATAAATTCATTTTTTCTATAAATCAAAAATAAAATTTATATTGGTGGCTTCAAATCTGATTTTGATAGAATCGTACTTCAATATTGCCAAACATATATAAAATTATTTTAAGATTAAATTTCATTACATGGACATAAGATTGTAGTATACTATAATATAAAGAAAGATTCGATCAGTTCATTAAGAACGAAGTTAATAATCAAAATGGCCGAGCAGTGAATAAATATCGATATATATCTAGGAAAATGTTTATCCATGCACATATTAAAACGGAAGAAATATTAAAAAAAAAATTTCTCATATGCCACTCTCCTACTCGTACATAACCTCTACTCATGTTCAAACAATTCATTTTGACGTATCACAAGATTCAAGATAAAAAGCACCACCTCTCTTCAACTCCCTCGACGATAAGCCCAGCTCTCTCACGATTTCACAGAATTCCGTTATTCTTCTGTTCGAAAGATCCTCGCACGCAAATTTCTCATAATGCCCTTTACGAAAGAATAATTCTCGTTCAAATTCTTGAAAGAGGCATCATTCATCAAGAGAACGGCGAGCTGGAAAAATCCGACTCCTTCTACTGATCTCCTTTCCACTGAAAACGAAAGAAATCTTCGTGCTTTCACGTCGATACGAAGATCGATCAAGAAACTGGTCGAATGGTGGAGAAATCTTGTTCGATTCGATTGATTTCTGTTGTGAGTTTCCAAAGCGCGCCGTTAGAGGGATACGCATATAAGTGTCTTCTCGCAAGTATAATTAAACCGCGTGTGTTATTAATATCCTCTTCGTAATAAGTAAAACAGTATTTAAAGTATAATAATAAATTGTCGTGTATTTATATTTAAGTTATTTGAGTTAAAAGTGTAATTGATTTGAACGTTTAACTTAAAAAGAAAAATATTGATTTAAATAATTTTTCAAGTTTATTCAATATCGTAATTCAATTTACTCGAAACAAACTAGTTATATAATAAAAACTTGGTTCTTTCCAAGCTGTTTTAATTTCTAATTTACATAAAAAATGTTTTTTTAAAATAAAATAAGTAATTATTTGAATTCAAGTAATTTGAATCCGAACCAAGAATAATTTTGTGTTTCTTTTTCATATCTCCTCGTTTCCACTTATTGTATCTCGCCATAACGTATCAAAATTGCGATGGAAGACGTTCCGGCCGATGGGCACGCAAAGTGGAAACCGCACGAGATAGCTGAGCGAAGTGGAAAGTAAAAACTTTTTAGCCAATCCTCGAGCGAACTGTTCGAGGTTAGCCTCTTTCTACTTCGATTTGCAACTTCATTAACCACCACGATCTCTAGCTGAACCACTCTTTCAGGAAAAACTTGTCCCTCGCGTGATTTCTCGATTAAACTCGCTACGCCTTGTCAGATCCCCCCTCGCTAGGGAAGCCTGTCGATAATTTAAGTAGCCACCGGTGTCCTATCGAGCGGACACGCTCCTAAAAGAAGCTTTCTGATAAAGTGGAGGATGAAGCACTGAAGCTGGTAGGTGGAAGATGAATTGCCCCATCATCTTGCTTGTGCTTGCGCGTACTATAAGAATTCGTAACGTGGCCAATGTCGTGTAATATTTGAGGTTTATTAAATGATGGAGAGTGGTGGTAAATGTATTATATTAGAATCTTTTTCTTTTTTTTTGCTCGATGATTGTTTAGAGAAGATTTGATTATATGTTTAAGTATATATTAATTCATTTAAATTAGAATATCTTTGAATTATACATTTTTTTGTGATTCTAAAATTGATTGATGTTAATCTTCGAAGAATTAGAAATGTGGAAAAATTTTCAACTATGATTTTTATGACAACTATTTTGGAATTTTAGATTGCTATGTATGATCTTATATATTCGATAGTGAAATCAAAAGTTTTCCAAGAATTAGAGGCTTGTCATTTATAATTATATTACAATTATAATTTAACGAGTGACTCAGTCTATTATTATTAAAATATTTACTGTGGATAAATCACCATATTTCGTTGCTTGATAGTCGTCCTTCGATTTTCATTCTTTTTTAATATTTTTCGTCGAACTGTGGAAAAATTTGATTTAAAAAAGTAATAGCCCGATATTAGCAGTTCAATTTCAATGTTTCCATCTATGTATCAGTTGATTGGAATATCGCATCGAATCCAGATTTCCAGTTGGACCTCGGCCATCCCATAGATTTCAAATCTATTTCAAATCTCGGTGAAGTTTATTGGAAATATAGTCAACAGTATTGTATTTCGTTTCTTCGGTGCAGTTATTTGTCGTTGCTGAAATCCGGAAGTATATACCGAGAAAGTATGTATTTTCCTGCGCTTTTCAATTTCTCAAAATTTTGACGGTCGATCGATTCTCTTCATTCTCCAATCTCCCTTCTAGAAAAATATGAAAAAGTGCAAAATGAACGAACAATATATGTAAACAGGTTCACGATCGATAAATATACTTATCATATATTATTAATATCGAAGTATTAAAAATATTGATCGTGTGAAAACTTTTGAAAAAATTGGAAGTGGATTGAAAATTCTATAGTAAAGTATTTTTATAAACAATATTTTATTGTCAAATGCGTTTCACGAAAAATAGATTGTTCGCTGTTTCCAAAGAATAAATTAATATTAATTAATAAAAAAAATATAATATTAAAAATATAATATCAATTAATAAAAAAATTTTTCTACAAAAAACAGTTAATAAATTATTCATCTTACTTAAAGTAAAAAAATCTATTAATCATATGACAATTATTTCAAAGCAACAATTATATATAAAGTTAGAATACAATACAATTAAATGTGATTTCTTACATTCTCAAGAAATAAACACAGCAGAGAGTGGATTACATTAATTACAGATCGCTTTTTCGAGAAGAACAAAAAAAAAACATTGGAAAGTAAACGCTTCTCACGAATTCTTTCATTGAATACATTATAATATCCGCGTGAACGAACGAAGATGGACCAATAAGCCGCCATTATTATGTCGACATTTTTTCGCCAGGGGACAATGAACGATTGATCCCGAAAGGAATCGCTGAATTCGTAGAAAATTCGTGTCTCCGCAAATAATGGAGATTGAAATCGATTCCTCCTCGACTGTTCGATATGTATTTGTCTCGAGTAGAGACGTCGCGTATGTAACGAGAGAAGAAAACGGGGCTATCCTTGTAACCCGAAATACGTGTTTCTAAGGAATAAGTATGAAATTTTTTTCGAAGAGAAATCTAAAATTTATTATTATCAATGAAATCTTGAATATGGGGACTGATATATGAAATGATATTTGGATTTGAAAAGAAGAATTTTGCGATAGGAATTATGTAAAGTTTTATATATCGATAGTTTATCGTACTTCATTCTTAAGAATTAGTAGAAATAAAGATGCATAAAGTGGACATTAAAAGTAGATTATTTATTTGTAAATGTTGATGCTGGATATTTATGAGGTATTGAAGAATTGAACATTAATTCTTATACGATTCAGTTCAAAATATTTGAATAATGAATGAAAAAGGGATTAAAATAAATATACATTTACATTTCAATTTTTTGAAATAAAATTATATAATTTCGAATAAATTTATCAGAATCAATAATTAGTAACGAAATAATTATCTGTAAGGGAATGCAGTAGGAGAATAGTTTCACGATCAAGTATCGAAACATTAGACGTAAAGCATTCTGATAAAAAGTGGAATAGCCTCGCGGCGATCTTGCTGCGAGTGAATGTTGTACGATAATCTCGCATAATATTCAAATATCTTGCTAACTAATAGATAGGTATAAGCAAATATTGCAATTCGATCGTCGGTTATCTTGTTTACATTACAGAGAGAAGAAGATTAAAATACCTTCTTTTTTAATATAATTAAGAAATTAAAATTTTCCATACTGAAAATGAAACATGAATGAAATGAAAATTTCACAATTTGTTATTTCAAATAAATAATTTTCAAATAAATTCCATCCTTAAAAAGGATGATGTATGATAATATAAATGGCTATTTGCGAAGCACCCGGTATAACATGTCTCAAAAAATAGAAAGTTTTTTTGATCTAAAACTTTTTATAATCTTTTTCCATCCATACGATATTAAATGTATTTGTGGACCACCGAGTATAGCAAGAGGAGGGAGGAATCATCGGCACCAGAGAGATGGAAATCGAAGAAGCACCCATTCCCTCCTCCTCCCCCGATCCTTGTGTACCTTAGGATACCGTGACACTAAGGCATGCAGGTTGAAATGGTTGCCGAAGGGAAAACGGCTTCGAGGCACTTGGAAATGTCGAAAGAAATTTGTCTCCAAAGTTTTCTCTCCTTCCATGTGTTTCATGTGTTTCATGTGTTTGCCAAGAATACATGTCTTCTTATTCCCTCCTCCTCCCCTCCCTTCGATCTTTCGTTTAAATCTCTCAAGATTTTTGCGTGCGTGTTTTCAACGATAAATTGCGTCGAAATAAATTTTGTAATTGTTATTTTTGAAACGATAGTTTGGAAAATTTTTTTACATACAATAATTTATATATTTCGCAGTAGAATAATTTGTTATTCATATTACTTTCAAACGATTTAATATCATGAAACGAGATAAAATTAACCAATATTTTCTTTCGTTATAATTAATTTTTATCAGTATAAAATAATTTTGATCCAAAACATCAAGATATATTTCACAGAAACACGCAAACGAGATCTTTTGAATGAAAAAAGAAAAAATATTTTGGTTATGCGTTTCTAACGTAACTTCAAACGTTCACCGTCTATTTCATGCCACGGTTAACTCGCAGATACCTTGTGTGTGGGTATATATGTATGTACGCGCCAACACACCGTAAGCGCGCGACGAGACCGACCGAAAATTGATTCGATCGATTTTCAAAATGATACCGCGAATCCAAATTCAAATATAATCGCGGAAATATTTGGAGGAGGGATGGGAGAAGAGGTTTCTTCGAATACGAGAAGCAAATAAAACCAACCAGACGAATTTTATTTATTACTGCTAGAGATATATTTTTGTATATTTTCTACCTACGTATCTATGTATATTTTCTTCTGAGGTTAAAATAAATGCGAAAGCTTAATTATTATTAATTCAAATTCGTTCAACAGTATATTCGTTCGAGTATAAAATTGTTTGTTACTCAATAAATAAAAGATGACGAAAAAATTGCAATAATCCTTCCATACGACGTTTCTCATATATAGCACGAATATTTCTATTGACACTGGTTCGTGTCTGTTCTAGATTTCAAATTAATCGTATCACGCAGAAAAACGAAAATTCTTCACTTTTCATGCTCACAATAACGAACGAAGCCCCGAATAAATTTTATTCCATGTTTTCATTTATGCAAAATTATTCGAATGAACACACAAAAAAAAAGAAAACTTTCTTCTTATCTGCAATCCGAATTTCATCCATTCTCTCTCCTTCTCCCTCCTTCTGATTCCAAGTTCGCTAATTTCCACGCTAGTTCCCTTTAACGAATGGACGTTTCATTTGGAACGTGCGCCACGAGAACCATTATTGCTCGGTCGGTTACATTGTTTAAAATTAATTTCCACCATCCGTATAAATTAAAGCGGCAAACGATCGACAAAAGGTATCGACATGGGGTATAAAGAATTACGAGCGGGCGAGGATATATCTCGTCCTCGATGGACGATGGGAGTATCGAATGCTAAATACGATTAATTCCGGATGCGTCAGAAGATTCCCCCTCCGCGTAAGATCGATCACCCCGCCATTTTTATTTATCGCTCTTAACCACGACTCCTCTCTATTTCTCGCCGTGTTTCGTCCATTTTGATTTTATCGCTCCTTGTTTTTTTCTTGAAGCAAAAAAACGAGCATTCGACAATTTTTAATGAAATATTGTTCGTGTATATAAATATAATATCGTGTAGTGTTTATTTCAACTAGGTTACATCGATCATTTCTTTATTATCGAAATTTAGAAATCTAAAATCGAAAAAATAAAAATATTATTTTCGAGAATGTAATCGTAAAATAATTGTTAAAAAGAGGTTTATTCATCGCGTATTAATGTAGCAAAGGGAAGCTAATTAAAGGAAACCAGTCTATTAATCCCTGAATTCATTACGCTCTCTGTATGTCAATCTCTGGAAGATAAGATTACTGTAGATCAATCGATACCTTCTGCATTCGAGGGATTACACGTCTCGTGTCTGCTCGTTACGATTGCTGTGAAACAGGAGGGGGGATAGAGGAGAGATGGCATATAATATATCTGTCATACAAACAGCGGTTCGAATATGATCAAAAGCGCGTGTAAACAGTTTGTCAAATATTTAATATGATATATTTTGTTCATGTTTAATACGATAAATCAATATATCCCCGCATCCAGTATCGATTTATTATTTACCGAAATTTGAATTTTACATTGGATTACGTAATTACGTCATTTGCGCGTGGAAAATAAAATTAAAATCGATTTATCGGCTTCGAAAAATTTTCTATCCCGTCGAAAAATTGAAAAAAAGAAAGAAATTCGATCGAATGTTCCGCAACGATTGTCGAAAATATCGAAATTTTTAAATTTTTCCAAATTCCGTTCCTCGATTCGATTTTAATTTTTCTGGAAATTTCACAAACGCTTATAAAATTAATAACATAAGTGACTCGCAAAGAGGTTGATGGGTTTAATTCAATTTTTATCAGCCTCGTTTTGTCAATTTTCCAAATCCAACATCTAAATCTGCGAACTAAACGTTCAATGAATCGAATCAGCAATCAGTTCGTGAATTTTGCGATTACAAGCTTCGTTTAACACTCAATATAGGTTCACCCCTGGCGTATTTTCAATTGTTAATCGGGGTAATTAACAATCCCCTAATACACCCTTGGATTAACTTCGTTTTATTGTCGACGAGAAAAAATTGGGAAATTTTCCCGCCAAATTAGCCCATCGAAATATATATGGTCGAGATAATTGGAAAAATTTTGGAATTATCGAATTTTAAATCATCGTTTATTGATTAACCACTGAATAATACGAAGCGTTTTATTATTAAATTTAGAATATACGTAGTGACGAATTGTTTGGAAATATAACAACTTTGTGCAATATGTATTTCATGTTTATATTTTTTTTTTTCACATGGATATTAATCCATCCAATAAAAATATTTATGGACAATATTATTCTTCTCAATATGAATTTTCATTTAAAACAAGAAGAGGGTTCAGAAATTTTTTGTTGACAAGTTCGTACTAATATTTTTTATTAGAATCTTTTTCCTTAATTCTCATAAATTTCTCTTCTGATACTTTTCACAAACCACAAATAATATACAGAACGAAAGAAATAATTTTTTTTGAACGCAAGGAGCAAAAGTACGATAATTAACCGACGCGTTACTTGTTAAAGTTTTCGCGATGCAAAGCGAAAAATTGTATCTTATATACCTGCTGTTCCAAGAGAAAGAGAGAGAGTAAGAGAGGACTAATTTTCCTAGAAATTCTCCTCAAAGAATATAATGATACCAATTATACATTTTAGCTTTTAAGTTTGCTTTGACTCCGAAACTAACTACCTTCAAGAAATATAACTCTCTAAAAAATTGTATGTACGTGTCTAGTATTTTTTTCACGCTGATAAATTTAAGAAATTATATCCTTTATAACATTATTATATAATATACGAAGCAATGTAAAGATCTATAATAATATTATTTAGAATATTGTAAAATTGAATCAGTTGATTATATTGTATAATTAATATATATATATATTTCGATATTTTCAATAGAAGAATATGCAAAATTAATATTAATAATTGCAAGAATAGAATAATAATAAAACTATTAATAAAAACTTTCTTTTATTTTTAAAAGTGCAGAAATAAACATTATTCATTTCAATATTCACTTTTATACCGTTTTTCCATCTTTATATATTGAAAACGAATAACGATAAGGGTTGAAATGACAGTGGAGAAAGAAGGGAGAAAGAAGGGGTATTTAAATGATGCACCGTAAAATTTACTCTCGAGCAATCTTGAATGGGCAGAAGAAAGGTACAGTTCGTTTTTTTTCGCCTTTGAACTTCTTTTTTACCTTTGCGCAGTCAACCTTCTTAGCTTTGCACGATCGACTTGCCTCACTCCTTCACGCAGTCAACCCTCTTTACCTTGTACTTGCTTACAAATCGATCTTCACTTTTAAACTTCTTAGCGAAACGAGGCAATACGTTTTCAATTGTTACGTGATTTTATCACGTAACAATTGCTTCATCGTTCAATTCTGAAACTCAAATTATTTAATATAATTTAATATTTGATATTGACTGTAATATTATATTATAAATATTTTTCACGTTTTATTATGTATCAAATTGCATATTAAAGTACCAATATCGATCAAAAATTGATTGCATGCAGTAAAAAATCATTTACAATTATATGGTACATTCTCACATCTTTAAGTATTGTTCATTGTTGGAAAGCTTGGTTAATTTGGAAAGAAACTATTATTAATTTATTTAATTCAAAAGAACGATATATCTAAACATACTATAGATATATTAATATTATATATCGAAATAATTAACAGTTTTGAAAATATTTCAACTTTTAATTTTGGACGGTTATTCTATAACGTAACTTCACAAATGAAAATAATTTTTACGATTTTGAACATTAGAATTATAGCTTTTCTACGTAGCGTGTGGTGTCAGGTTTGTCAACAAAGCGTCTGAAGTGGGGATAAATGATCCTAGGGAAAGACCCCTCTTGCCTCTGTGCCGTCCCGCGAGACTTTTTTTCAGCAGTGACCAGTACAAGTTTCCAGTACACGTTAGATCCAGAGAATTCTAACATATCTATATGAATAAATTTCTTTATTTTCTCATAATACTTATAAGCTAATTATAGTTTAATTTATAAATATAATTTCGTATTCGAGTAGTAGAGAGAATAATTATACATATACGAATATATATCGATATGTATCGAAATAATTAATAGCTTCGAAAATATTTCAGCTTTCAGTATTGGATGATCATTCTGTAACTTCACAAATGAAAATAATTTTTACGATTATTGAATATTCGAATTTTAGTTCTTTTACTATTATGTAACGTGTAGTTGTCACGATTGTACAATAGTACTTCGAAATTTCAAAATCAATCGTTCTCGGTCAAAAATTAAATCCAATTTCTATAATTACATATAATAGAAACTACTTTCCTCACTTTCCTCATTTTCATCTCCTTGGAAAACAATATTCTGGCTCACGATTATCATCTATGTCCTATCTCACACCCTCTGCTTTCTCTGTTTCTTCCATTTATCATCAGCAAACGCTGGTACAAGGAAGTGCACTTCGTGGACCTGGACCTCAGTACCTGTTCTCCCCTTCCTTCCACATTCCTCCTTCAACCACAAGGATACTATTACCCGACGATTTGTGTATTCCATCGAGAGTTGGGAGTTGCATTAATCCGTTAAAAAAGTATAACTAATTTAAAATAAATTTTATTCGTCTATGCTGAATATTCGATCTTCTCTCTCTCTCTAGCCAACGAATCCGGTTGGACAAGCTTCCTTGAGCAACTTTCAATACCTCCAATGGCTCTCTCGTGATGGCAGTATTTTATTTTCCTCTTTCTCTCTCTCTCTCTTTTTGTTGCTCTTTTTTACGAGGCTCGAACCCCCATCGGAGATTGCTCTCGAGGGCAGAATAAAGCGGCGCTATATCTTTTACATTCTGGATTTCTATTTTTCGAGCTTGAAGCGACGATTCGAGACAATTCACGGGTTATTGATTTTCGTGAAAATCGAGGAAATACCACGAGATGAGATTTTTGATAATTGTTGCGATTTGTTTTAATCGATGATTTGATTTTCCGAAAGAAAATTAAGTAAGATAT